TCATGCTGTAGTGCTGACTTTGAAAAATTGTAACGTGAGCAGCTTGCAGTGGTGGTTTGTGGAACCTCATATGAATTCATGGCACATGTAAATTTTGTGAATAAGTTCAGATATTACCGCAATTCAATGATACAGTGTACAAGATGTTAATTAAAGTTCAGCAACTTTTTAAATTCTTTGGCTGAATTATGAAATTGTCATATTCATCATATCACAATAAGCCAATTATGCATTGACCAAATCAAGCACTATAACCATCAATAGGGATGGTTAGAATTAGGGTTAGGGTTAGAATTATTGTTCAAAATTATACCATGATGCTGCTGAATTCTCAAATCTGATTGGTCAGAAGTGTGTTGATTAATTTTTTTGCCAGTCAAGAGCATGACGGTAGTGATCAATATGCAATTATAGCCTTTAATTCTAACTAGAGCTGTCACGATTACTTGATCAAACTTGACTAGTAAAAAGCATAAATTAAAATGTTCCTTCTCGAATACTTGGCAATATGGCAGCAGTCGGCACCTAGCAGATGAAGGTGAAAATAAAGTGCGAAAACCATCAATTGTGTTGAAGCACTTCACATTAAAAGTGAATTAAAATGTGATCTCTCAGTATTGCAAAGCAGAACTTAAATATCACCACAGCACAACTTTGATGCAAATACTATCATAAAGAAGACTTTTAGGCTTGACGTACTCACCCAATAGTGCGAGGTTAGCCGTAGATATGGGCCATTTAGCCTCTAGGAATAGCTTGGCTGTCTTGTCGCCTTTTTGCTTTAAATTAGTTTGCTTAATTTACTTTCTACGATTCTGCCATGTCAAAATATTAATAAAAGTTTCTAAAACAAAATTTAGCCCTGTCATGTAGCTGCATCATCTTACATAGTACGGCGCACATTAACCATATAATATTATTTTTTGTACACATATTGTGTGTTGAGTAGGGCTAAACAATATTTGATTTTTTTATGACATTTAAGAGTTGGAAATTAACTATATAGCCACAAAGAACTTATTGTCTACCAACAAAATCTGTCAAATAAGTTGGTTGTATTGCTGTTAGTTGTGCCAACAGACACAGAGCCGTATCGCCGATCGTCTATGACTGAATCAAACAGCAAGGAGGATAATGATCATGATTGTGTACATGCAGAATTCATGCAAAACCGGTAAACTTCATACAGATTTTTTTAACATATACTAGATAATTGAGAAAAGGAGCCATTGTTAGACTTGCAAAGCTTGCAAAATTTTCTTTCCTTTGCCTGACTAAAAATGTTTTAGTGCAACATATTGATGGCTTGAACCCAGCAGACTATTGTGGTCCTCGCGATGTGACGTTTGCATGTGCATGAAATGCCATGCTGATAAATATTAACAGCGCACATTGTACTAGGCGGTCGGGGGCGGCACAGTAACGCAGCAGGCAGTGCTGTCACCACACTCCGCCGCTTGGTGCGTGTGGCTTTTCAGCAGTGGCTTGGGTTGTATCTATGCAGAAGGTTTAATCATTTGCAGAAGAAAGTATTTCTACTAATGTAAGTTCGGCTTGCAAAAGTGAAAATAATGTCTTTAGCTACAAACATGTAAGCCAAATGTGTGGTAAATGTGGTACAGGTGGGTTAATGCACTCCATGTTCTTAAAAGTACGACTGCAGAGGCAAAGAACCACTTGACACGCATTGAGCATTAACCTTTACACTCACATAGCTTACTGCACACATTGTCCATTAACCTATAAGTAGCACTGTCGCCTCAGTTCCAGGGTTGGAGATTTCAATGCCACCCTTGCTCTGCCTACAGTATATGATGTTCTGCCAATGTTATGTTGCATGGGAGCACTAGCCTCCTCCTGCGTCCCAAAGCTATGCAGGCTGCTAAACACGTTCATCTCCAAATTTGCATGTGTGCATGAACCTGCATGGACTTGGGGGACGCTTAGTCATGACGCTTGGGGGAGGTTTCAGAACCGGCGACCAAGCACCAGATAAGCAGTTTGAAAACAGATAAACGACTATGAGGCGACTCATCAAAGTGAAATATCGTCAAGGTGAGAATCCTTAGCAGGAGATTTACTTAACAGCAGAATAACATACTGGGTAGCAGACAACATGGTACCAACTATAATCAAGGGCATAGGAGACAATTTGATATTGGGGGGGGCAACTTA